TCCTCTGTCTTCTGCCGGTTTTCTTGCTTGCCTGCCAAGGTTGACTGCTCTTCATGGCTTTCAAGTGTTATGCAATCTGCTACAGTGGTGCAGGACTTTGCTCCAGACGGTTCTGTGTGGCAAGAGTAAAAGCCCTTGTTGGCCGGGCCAAGGAGGACCACATGGCTCATTGCATCAACCCTTTGAGTGCCCGGCATGCTGCCTGCACTTGGCAGGCAGACAGAAGTTTTGTCAGGGTGGGGTTAACTGGCTTGAACCGAGGAGCTGATTCCTGGGGCTTGTTATGTATGGAGTGAGTAAATGTGAGGCATTGTTACCGACCTGAGAAGATGGAAATGGTGAATGATGGGACTTCCACGCACAGACATTTCTTTGCTCACTAGCAGGGTCTGTGGTGAGAGCCTTTTATAGCAGGCCAGGGTCCAAGTCACTGGGGCTGGGGAGGGGGCAGGGGGCGCGTCTGTCCAGGCAAACCTTGCAGGGTGATGGTGTTGGACAAAGCAAACAAATAAGGAGAAGAAAGCCAGGCAAGCGAAATGCCCTCGTGATTTCAAACATAGGCCGTGGAGTCCAGGGACTAGTTGCACTCCTGTTATTCACTGGTTAGGGAGGATGGACCCTAATAGACACTGTCCCTCCCTCCCTGCCATTGAGGGATGAGCCTGTAAGGGGACTTGACACAGAGCAGGTCGTAGGAATTGCAAAGTAAGGATGAGGATGGGAAGAGGGTGTGGCCAAGCGGTGACATACTTAATCTCAGGGTTGCGACCTTTCTTCTGTTTACAGGTGCCTAGTAGAGTTTTTAGGATCCCACAACCTAAAAAAGATCTCCCTTTGTGGAGCACACTCGGGCTTATGTGGACAGTATCATGGGCTGCGGTGGGAAGGCTCCGAGAGGGCTGGCTAGCTGAGCCTAGGTAGAGCGAGGAAGGCGCTCCGAAGGAGCAGAGGGATCAGAGTCTGGCAGCTGTTGGGCGTAAGGAGTGAAGGGAGAGGGAGAGACAGGAGCCCGAATACCTTTCTTTGCTCATTGGACCATGCTTTCCAAAATCAGAAAAAAAGATGTCTTGGGGAGTACAGGAAGAAGACCCTGGGACTTTTACACATAGGGATTTTCATACGATCCTTTATCATCTCTAGTTTTGTGGGGTTCTTTAACCAAATACTGGGGACTCACACAACGCTTATCACAATCCATCCATCCATCCATTGTGTCGAGCACATGTGTACATTTGTTGCCATCATCATTCTTTTGTGAGTTTTATAATGCGTGTGTGTGTGTGTGTGTGTGTACATGCACACTCATGCCTAGATTGCCCAGAGATCTTATTTTTCCCTAATAGGCAGTAGACTGAGACTGTCTGGAATCTACTAGAATGAATGAAAGCAATGCTGTTAGTCATACTCGGAGCAGGAGGGCAGCTCAGTGCCCAGTGTGTGATAGTCTTCCTTTTACCCCGTCTGTCTTTTCCACACTGGACTGGATACATATTTGATGAGCTACCTTCAATGTTGTTCTAAACCAGTGGTTCTCAATTTCCTAATGCCAAGACCCTTTAATACAATTCTTCATGTTGTGGTGACCCCGTATGCAGGCATATCTGCATGTGGGCGGACCTGCCTGGAGACAGAGGAGTGGTGTCTCAGTTCCTAAGACCATCTGAAATATGGTCCTAGGTGACCCCTGTGAAAGGGTCGTTTGCCCCCCAAAGAGGTTGCGACCCACAGGTTGAGCACTGTTGCTCTGGAACAAGGAGAATGTTTAGACCCCACGTGCTGCTTGTGTGCATATCTTTAAATGCCATAATCATCTAATAGGTAAACATATATTCATGTACGTATTTTTTCCATTGAATGCCTGGCCTTAGAGCACAAACCCTGAATGAGGAACGCAAGACTGTTTGAGGCCGAGGTCATCACATCACCAGGGAAACTGGCTCCAAGGTAGAGGCGTAGAGTCTGTTTTCCCCCATCTGGGATGGGGCGCAGAAAGGTGCGTTTTAAGAAACTTCTTCAAGATGTTTCCGATGCAGGAGGTCCATCAGTCACATTTTGAATAACACCTATTTACAGATTAGATAGACATGCCAAACTAGGAAGGCAATGATTTGTTCCTACAACACTCTCAATAGGAGGCCTAACTATTCATAAACCTCAGTGCGTGCTACCTGCTGAGCGCTGTTCTGATGTATGCACACACCCGGTTAGCGCGGTGTGTGTATGTGTGTTTGTGTACATATGTACTGTAAAATCTGTAGAAGCCAGATCCTGGAAAGCCAGAGCCAGGAAAACTCACTAGGTGCTCAGGAGGTAGAACTCTTAATAGAGAGAGATAGAAAAATGGTAGGCACTGGGTCAAAGGTAGAAAACTTTCACGAACCAGAAAAACTAGGCGGTCCCTTTGAAGCCTGGTGCTCCCAGGTGTGTTGTTGTTGTTATTGTTAGATGCCATTGAATCAGCTCCAACCCTTAGCGATCCCGTGTACAGCAGGATGAAACACTTCACAGTCCTGCGCCGTCCTCACAGTGGTTCCGATGCCTGAGCCCATTATTGCAGGCGCTGTGTCGGTCCATCTCCTTGAGGGCCTTCCTCGTTTTGGCTGCCCCTCCACTTTACCAAGTATGATGTCCTTCTCCAGGGACTGGTCTCTCCTGACAACATGTCAACAGTATGTAGGACATAGTCTTGTCATCCTTGCCTCTAAGGAGCACTCTGGCCATAGTTCCAAGACAGATTGGTTTGTTCTTTTATGGTGTTTCAATAGGTCTTCTCCAGCACCACAATTCAAACACATGGCTCCTTCTTTCTTCCTTATTCAGTGTCCAACATGCATATGAAGCAGTGGAAAGAACCATGGCTTAGGCCAGGCAAACCTTAGTCCTCAAAGGAACATCCTTGCTTTTCAGCACTCTAAAAAGGTCTTGTGTGGCAGATTTATTCCCCTGCAACTCCTCTTTTGATCTCTTGACTGCAGCTTCCATGAGCATTGATTGTGGATCCAAGCAAGCCAAAATCCTTGACAACGTCAGACTTTTCTCCATTTACTATGCTGTTACCTTTTGGTTCAGTTGTAAGGATTCTGGTTTTCTTTACATTGAATTGTTATCTACACTGATGCCTGCGATCCTTAATCTTTATCAGCAGGTGCTACAAGTCCTCCTCACTTTCAGCAAGCAAGGTTGTGCCATCTGCATATCGCAGATTGTTAATAAGCATAGTTTATTATGGTCCACACAGTCAAATGCCTTGCATAGTCAATAAAGCACAATAAAACAGAAAGCACATCTTTCTGCTGTTCTCTACTTTGAGCCAAGATCATTCGGACATCAGCAATGATATCCCTTGTTCCATGTCCTTTGCTGAATCCAACCTGAACCTATGGCAGCTCACTGTCAATATACTGCTGCAACTGTGATTGGATGACCCTCAACAGAATTTTACTTGCATGTGATATCAACAGTATTGAGTAACAGTTGTCTTAATTGAAGTTCCTTGAAGGCAGATAGTATTATCCTACCACAGACAGGACTGTACTTCATGATGGATTTTGTGATGTCCTTTTTTTTTTTACAATAAATGCTGCGCCATTCTTCTTGATTATGTTGTTCCCGGCATAATAAATGATGTGATTTTCTATTTCAAAATGGCCAATGCCAGTCCATTTCAGCTCAGTAATGCCTAGGATATTGATCTTTATATCTTCCATTTCATTTTTGACAATGCCCACTTTACACACACACACACACACACACACCTGAGATAGAGTAGGTGAACTAGTTTTGCAAAGGTTATAGTCACAAAAACCATGACTCAGTTCTACTCTGTCACCCATGAGGTAACCATGAGTTGGGATCCACTCAACAATTAACATATATATATATGTATACATATACATATATAATATGTGTATATACAATGAGGAGCTTCAAATGTGTGTGGGAAAACTGAATGGAATTTTTATGGGATTTTCCATAAGCCCTCACCTCTCTCTCATGCACACACATATGTTATGTCTAAGCATGGGTGTGGGTGTGGGAGTGTGCACACCCACCACATGTCCTTTCAATCAGCAGGGCCTTATGAAGTGAAGGCTGACTCGTGCCCTCACTTTGCAGTAAGTGTGCTGAGGTACAGGGCTGAGGTGCGGTGACTGGGTCTCGTGAGTCAAATGGAGACTGGCGAAGTAGCCCAGGCCATTGACCACCACTGCTTTCCCTTTCACTAACTCCAGCCACCTGGCAGCACGGTTATCCTGTCAGATGGGCTGATGCCCACTACCTCTCTCATGGAATGGTTCCTACCACACCAGAGGACTGGAGAAGTGCTTTTGGCCAGATGTGGTCAACCAGCCATAACAGACAGGCTCAGCCATTCCGCACATGCACGCACCACCCCTCCCATTCGGAGGACGAATAGTCTCAGCCGGCCACCAATTAAAGTGATGGGTGAAATGTGCAGGGGTAAGGGAGCGTGGGTGCTCGTCCCTTCCAAATTAAATGTGTGTACGCATGGTTGAAAGGAAAACTAATTTGCTCTGTAAACCTTCCCTCAAACCACAGTCAATAAGCAGACAAATGAATTCATTGAGTAAATGCATGCTTGTCTTACTGGAAAGAAGATGATGTAGGCTTATCCGCTTTACCTGTTGGGTCTGTTTTGAATTATGCTGTTTGAACCATCTGACAGCGGTAGATTGGCACAGCCTTTTCTGTGGATAGGGCCGTGGTGCCGCAGTGGTTACTCGTTGGGCTGTGAGCCTCAAGGACAAGCCATTCAAAACCATCAGGCACTCTTCAGGAGAAAGACGGAGCTTTCTACTCCTGTAAAGAGCTACAGTCTCAGAAACCCACAGGGCAGTTCTACCCTGTCCTATGGGGTCCGTGAGGCCGCAGTGACGTGATGGCTTGGTTTGGGGCTCTTTTTCTGAGTGTGAAGCACATTGGGTCCAGCGGGTCCCTGCCCTCTTGTGATGCCCTTGTCCTCTGCATTGTGTGTCTAGGGAAAGTGGCCATTCAGAAGGAAGACTTGCAGAAGTACCACAACAGAGACACCTGGTTCCAGCTGCAGCATGTCGATGCAGACTCAGAAGTGCAGGTGAGACCCCCCACCCCACCCCTGCCAACTCTGCCAGAATCCTGGGAGTCAGAGCTGTTGCAACACACCGGAAGTCATTGGGAAGGGAACACAGACTCCATTGGTGATTGAAGAAATGTTGCTTTTTTTTGCCCTTAATAGGGACTAATGTTCGGCAAATTTGTACCTTCTCTGATTTATACTTAAAAACAAGTCTTGTTAGTTTTGTCTCTTCCTTTAGTTCCTGGCTCCGTCATGCAAGATACACACAGCTGTAAAATCCACAGAATGAGGAGGGATGGTCACTCATCCTGGAAGACAGAGAGAAACTATGGGTACCTAGAAAATGAGGCTCTTGGCAGAATTAGGACACAGAGCCATATACCATGTATAGAGAGTGGCTGGAGGGGGTCTGTGTATTTGTCTCTAGGCCTCCTGATATTCAAAGCAAAGAAAGACTAAGAACTGTAAGAAGTAGCCCAATCGAAGCAAAGAACGAGGTTATTTGTAAACATCCTTGGCAGTCATACCGGCTTACCTGCATGATGTGTTCATTGGGACTGCTTTCTCCCACTTGTCCAGTTGAAGAAACTTCCCTCCACGTCCCTTCCACCCACTCCAGCTCAGCTTCTCCCAGGACTAGCAGGGGAGACTGCAATTCCCACAGGCCCTGGGGCCTCCAGGTTCTGGGCATCCCGAGACCCTCCTTAAACAGCTGGCATACAAACCCGCTCTGCCGGGCACCAGGAATGCTGCGTGGCCTTCGCTGCTGAGGGTACTCTCAGACTGAGCAGTGGTGGGGTGGGGCAGCCATGCTGAATGCCCAGCAGAACATTGTCCAGGCAGAAGAGAGGGTCTGCACCTTCTCTTTTTCTCACTGGAGCCTTTCCCTAGTACAATGTATTTCTTAACCCACACCAGTGTTGTGTGTGGAGGTCATCCCGAGCCCCGGTCTGAAACAGGGGGCAATTACAAAGGGACTCATCTCGACCTCATGTCACAGAGCTCCTGGTACTGAGATGCAAACACATTTCCAGCTGTAGGTAGATTTTTATAAAGATGCCAATGCTGTGGCTTCAAGACATATGGCCAAGAGCATGGCCTTTGACCCAAACATCTGTTTCACATCTTCATTCTTTAATCTACTAGTGAAATGACATTGGGGCAGTTGTATTCTCCAAGCCTCAGTTCACTCAACTGTAAAGAGTGAGTGGAATAACACTATGTAGATTTCA